GTGTCTGTGTGTGTGTGTGTGTGTGTGTGCCACACCTAAGTGTCTTTACTGCAAGTGTCAAGACGTCTCTCCCTCTCCCTCTCCCTCTCCCTCTCCTCCTCCCCCTCTCTCTCTAAGAGAGGGAGCAGCCTTATATACAGGCTTACAGCACAGTGGAAAAACCCCAGGTGAAAGAGGTTGTGTTTTCCTCGTGCTAGCTGTTGATGTCAGTGAGGCAAGGAGGGGGCAGTAAACCAATTAGGACTAGAAAACAGGATGCACCTGTGGCTATCAGCTGACAAACAACCCAGAGACCCTGTGGGAGCTAAGGCCGAACACTGCACCACTGTGGGGCTATGCTCGGGCACAGCTTTTCCTTGTCTTTTTTCTTTGTGGTTCATCTAGATCAGCATAGCATTGAAAACTATTCTGAAGATATCACACACATGCCAACATCCTCTCCCCAAGCTTTTGCAAGATGACAATCATGGAGTTGTCCCTCATAGTGCATCCATTTTCTAGTATTTGGCCAGTCTTGAAGTTGTAAGAAAATACCTGTGGAATCAGGTATTTTGATGACGGTGACGGTGAATGAACTCAAGTATAGAATTATTGCATATTGCAGGTATCTCTCTACCTTCAACATTTATGAAGGGGAAGTTAATTTTCACTCATCTGGGTTTCTTTTCATCTGGTTTCTCTACAATGTTTATGCCTGAGGGTTATTGCCAGCAGTAAAGAGTGTCCAAGTATGTTATGGGAATGGCCAAATTCCCAGTGCCTTAAAATACATTCCATGGGCCCTAGAGTCGGCTAGAAGCTGATTGATTAGACAGCAAATAGAGCTGGTGGATACGAAATATCCCATTTCTCCAGCTCTACCACTCATAAGCATGGACGTCATATCGGGGAGTTGGGGAGCAAATGTCTCAGACAGCTCAGAAGAAATATTACTGCGGGTTTTCCATGGCAAAAAGGTCTGGAAATGGAGCAACATGTAATAAAAGGCTCATGTGAACTGACATGTCACATGAACAAACCATTTTAATAAGCAGTTTAGTGTGGTTGGCTTGCTAAGTTTCTTTTTTTTTTTTTGATCAGTTCACTGAAACATCAGTTTCATTTATTGATAACGGAAGATACTAGGAAGAAGTGGGTGGATGGACTTCTTCATTTGAGTAGTTTATAACTAACAGCAAAGTTTCCACTTAATCTGTCCAAGACTCGGATAGAAAGTTCTACTTTGTGAAAGAGAAAATGAGCTGTTAGACACAGCCCGTGTCAGGGATGCTACAGATGTTTAATGCCCGCAATTTGCATATTTTACCCATAATTATTCATTTGTTAATATACCTTCTCCATTTTGTTTGGTGTAGTCTATCCTCGAATGTGAAATCAAATCCCTATTTACTGTGGGTGTGCTAATGGTTTAGGAAGCCCTATGGTAGCTACTGTTCCCTGGAGAAGACAGAGCGGATCTGACTGACATAAAAAGCAAAGTAACCTTCCCTTGTTGATGACGCCAGCACTAACATCTCCCTGTAAAGTAGAACTTATGTGGCAGGGAGCTTTACTAAGTGCTATGCGACAGGGAAGAATTCAATACCTACACGTGTGGATTGATTGGAAGTATAGAATGCATCAATTTGGATTTTAGCTGAAGTCTAGGAATCCTGAAAGAAACTTTAATGTCCGAAGCAGAAAGTAAATATATTGACATCCTATAAAACAGGGCTATAAAACTATCGATAATAGTTGTATGTAAGTCTGAGCACGGAGCATTTCATTTTAAGGACACGCAGATCACCAACGTTTTTACTTACGTGTCTATGAAGTCAGAGGAACATTTAGCAGAGTTGAACGGGATTTTTTTTCCTGGGGGGCGTGGATAGCCTAAAGACTGATTTTAGACCACTCATACTGAATAAAAACTGTGCAAAAGGCTCCCTTTTGAAAGCGTGCATGTTTTTACGATGCTGCCAGGATGCGTAGACCCCTCTGGACTTGTCTTTGAAGCAGTGATGGTGACTAACTGTGTGTCATGTCCCAGGAAGCTACATGGCCAGGTCTCTGAGTTGTCCTCTTTCTCCTGGTGGTGTGCAAGCCCGCTTTATTTCCACTCTCCTATGATGCTCCCCACAGAGGTAGAAATGGTCTAGTGTCTGCCAGTAGGAGCAGAGGGTTCCACCACAACAGTCTTTCGGTGGGCTTCCAGCGGCGCTCACCATCGACTTGGATTTGTACATCCTTCAAAGCCACAGAGTAAGCAGAAGATCGTGGAGACAAGTCACCCCTTTCATGGGCATCTTCCGAGAGGCCCCACTTGGGCCCAGTCAAGGGCAAACCCGCTCAATGGGAAAGGCATTTCTTTGCAGCCCCATGCTGCGCATGTTGTCAGTAGAACAGCAAGGAACAGTCTGGGTAAGTCGGGTGGGATGGTTTTCATGTGTTTCTGTTTTTCTCCTGGCTTTGAAAGCACACTGCATTTTGCTGCTGTTATTTCCAATTGGTGGAAATGAAACTGGGGGTCTCAGTGGGGTTTTGTGGCAAACAGATAAAGCAGGTTCAGGCAAGACAGGGCAGCCCATGATCCGAAGGGGATTGAGCAGTAGTGGTTTCTTCACAGGGGTGAATGGGGCATAATTTACTCAGCTGCAGCAGAGCCTGGAAGCCAACCTAACTTTGACCCATTTGTCTTTAGGAAACTAATTAAAGTACAGAGGCTGGTTTTACTGTTGTTAGGGATGTTTTACTTTTTCTCACTCAGGCTGAGCAAAGTGTGTGTTTGTGTGTGCCTGTGTATGTGTTTGTGTGTGTGTCTGTGTGTGTGTCTGTGTCTGTATCTGTGTGTTTGTGTGTCTGTGTCTGTATGTGTATGTTTATATGTGCGTCTGCTTGCATGTATGTGTGTGTGTCTGTGTATGAGTGTGTATGTCTGTGTCTGTGTGTGTGTTTGTGTGTGTGTCTGTTTATGAGTGTGTGTCTATTGTGTGTGTCTGTGTATGTGTGTGTGTCTGTGTATGAGTGTGTGTCTGTCTGGGACAGACAGTAGAAGGGTCAGTTCCACCCTAAAGAGAGGTGCTGAACCCCTAGAAAATAAAAGGGTTTCTTAACTCCAGCTTGATTCCCTTTTGAAATGCAAAGTGGTGGAGCTCGCCGGATGCGGATGCAGACTCCTTTGAGGTGGCAGTGAAAAGCCATGGCAATTTGAAATGAACAACTGTTTCCCAGTCCTTACAGCCCAGGCTTCCTAAATCACATCCAAATGGCCCCAGAGAGGCATGGGAGAACATTTTTTATGACTAGCATTTTACTCTGAAAATGGCGTTAGCCACCAGATGAGAAAACAAGTCCAGGACGTTTGCTGCCACATCCATTTACTTTCAAAGCATAAAACACTAAAGCGGTGCCTTCCCCTTCCCCTCCCCTCCCCAATCCCCTTCCCCTTCCCCTCCCCATTCTGCCTCCCTCTCCCAATGCTGGAGAGAGTGGACCTCGGGCCAGCACTGTGGTACCAAAGGGCATAACTTGATGGGAGTTTTGCCGGTACTCAAGCCTTTAAGTGGTATTATTAATAACATGTTTGCTTCTACTAAATACCAATGAATTGAAGAAGATGCAGCAGATTTTTTTTAAAGATCCCGTCAACAACTGAATTTAGGGTTCTGATGTTTGGTGACAGTACACAGGGGAGGTCCAGCAGGCAGACTAGGGGTACTGGTGTGATGACATTCCTCCCAGCACACTGGAGGAAGGTGCGTTTCTAGAGGTGGAGCTACAAGGTCATGGTAACCACCTGCGGAGGAGGCCACCCTGGCTCCTTTGCAGGAACAAATCGGAAGAGAAAGCATCACACTTGGCTGCAGCTGCTCTGCCTGTTCATTTGGCCAAACTGACAGAAGCCCAACTTGGCCGCCTCTCATACCAGAGTCCTCTGTCTTCTGGTCTCTCTGTCTCTTGGGTCCTCTTGCTTCCCCCAAGCACCCTGTGCTAGGATGTAATCATGGGTGGGTGGGTGACTACTCAGCAGGGACAGGCTCTCTTTGAAATAAATGAATTCCGAAGGTGAGCTCTCACACAGTACTAGTAAACCGCCTAGGTTAAGGCAGAACACCGTTAAAGCATGGGAATGCTCACTCAGTAAACACGTACTCCTCCAGAGACAGACACCTCCGTTCCTGGTCCCAGGACACACGTATTGTACAGGTCTTTGTGAAACTGTGAAATGTGTAGCCCCAGGCTGGCCTCAGACTCTCGGGGTAGCTCTGGCTGGCTTTGAACTGCTACCACACTGTTGGCTTGAGTATACAGGTTCTCATGAAATAGCATTGTGAAAACCATATTCTATAATGTTTTAGTTAATGGGAACAGTCAAGGCAACCTAGAGTTTTTGTCCTCAGCCCAATACAGGTCACTTTCAGATAAAACACTATCCAGTACTCCCTCCCACAATTCTCAAACACACAAACGAATGAACAACAACAAAACCAAACTAAAATAGCACCCCCAGTACGCTCAAATACAATCAACAACAATATGCATGGAGAAAACACTTTGTACCATAAACTATTTTTAAGCCCTTAAATTCTCCAAGTCCCTGCTAATGGAAAAATTAGCTCCTTGTGCATGAGAATCGATGTCGGTTTGTTTTTTATTATCAGCGAGGTAATTATCGTCTCAGCACAGGAAGAATAGGCCCATCTAGCCCACTGGGATGGGCTAGTTTTTCAGGCAGATGACAATAGTCTGAGCATTGCAATAGGATGTAAATCAGCTACCAAATGCGGCAGTAGCCCACGAAGATTAAATTGGAAACCTTGCCATTGGGAAAGAATACCAAAGCAGTTACGAGCCATAAATAGCAAGCAGAGAGGAAACCAGGAAACAAGTTGACCCTGCACAGTGGTCAACTCATCCCAGGTAAAGGGAAGGGGTTAGGGTTGGGGTCAAAGGGGAAGGAGGCATTTCTCAGGAACACTCTTGACAAATAGGATGAACAAAAGAACGAGACCAGTGCTTACACTATGCTGCATGGTCCTCCACACAGTCCTCTGGGAAGCAAGAGGAAGACAGATTCAAAAGAAAAAGAAAGAGAGATTATTTTATACATCATAGCACAGCACGGGCATAAAGCGTAGATTCACCGGTTGGTTGGCTGACATTCTGTCCACCCTGCCCTCATGCCTTAGTGACTCTGAGAACAACAAGGAAATCTTGATACCGGGACCAGGTGAGATACTTACTGGAGTTGCTTTGGATTAAATCATCACAACCTGATGAGTTAGCTTCCAAGTTTCTCTCTCTCTTTTTTTTTCTCCTTAAGGTTGACTTTTATAAACCACATTCCTCTAAGGGCTGTAATTTAGAGTTCAGCTTGGCCCTAATGAAAACGCTGCTGTAAGTAACAGACAGTCCCTGCCTGCGTGTTCAGTGTGAGCACATTGTGCTCTAATTTTCTGAGCTCCTCGTCTAATTGCCTTTCGGGAGGCCCGGCGCTCCACACCTCTGTGCGCTCAGACCTGAAAGCAGCAGCTTCGTGCTGAATTAGTGTCGAGCCTGATGTTTCCATTGGGGGCGGGGGACGACTTTCTACAATCACAGCCTTACATCCAGGTGTTTCGGGGATTCAAGGAGGGTAAATTTACCAACAGGAGTTACCCCTTCAGAGTGCCAACCATGACCTCTGGCCCCCTTAACTGGGCACAGGAGAACTGCTGGGGTGAGACACGATGGGGGGGGGACAGCCTGTTAGGTAGACCACGTGATGGGCAGTGAGGACTCTGATACTTCCCCCAAAGCCAGATTTCTAGCAGCAGCTGAACTTATACAAATTCAATCTTTAACATGCTTGAAGGCTGTTGGCTACCATCAACAGCATCTTAGGCCCCCCGCAACTTTCTAAGGGCAAAGGGAAACTTTTCATTGTGATAGGAGAATTTCCAAGCTCCTTAGGAAGGCACTGGGCCTTGTGAAAGACACCATGCTTGTTCCGGACTCTGTGAGTTTTAGCAGTGACTCGGGGCTTGAGACCTTTATTTCTAAAACAAACCCCGTAGTTACCAGCTCACATAAAAACACAGTTTTACACTAACATTTACCAACAGATCCCAGAGTCAACACCACAGGCACTAATTTAAAAGGTGTCGAGAAGCCACCCTCAGGAGCTTCAGAACGAAGCGATTTTCAGGTGGGTGAGTGGAAAGCTCTTTTGATGTCGGCTCTTAAAACATTTTTCTCTGCTGAAACAGAGAAGTCTTTTCCAATTTCTGCCTTTTCTGGGACACATGCTTCCTATAAATATTCAGGAAATATCTTTTTCCGGGCAAAATTTAAAAAGGAGTGGGTCTCACAAGGCTTGTTTATAAACAGTGGGACAGGCTGCAACAGAGGACAGACCCTTCTGGAGAATTCATCAGGGTTTCCCCTTGAATAGGTCCATGAAAGACCACACTTGCCTCTTCAGAAGGCAAGCAAGCGCTTAAAGAGAAAAATGCCTTGGGGGAAGCCAGAGGCTGCAAGGGAGGCTCTGATGGGAACTTGGGGCCAGTGGTCTATGTCTTAAGGACAGCCACAGTAGAACATGTTTTGATGTGGGACGACTGAACTTAGGAGCAAAGGAGAGCAATTGGAAGGAGGCTGGCTGCCACACATGGCTAAGTCTCAGATTCGAGGTGATCAGAATCTCACAGCATAGAGTATGAACAAAACTGCGGTTCTCATGTACACAGCCCGAGGTCATGCCTGGGAGGACATGGGTGTTAGAGCTGATGGAGAGAACACTGTGCTGTACACCACATTTAGGTCCTGGTGTGAATACCTATGCTCTCAGGCTGGCCTTGGGTTTTCACATGTGACAAGTGATTAACCATTGTCATTTATTGTTTGAAAAAGATTGATGGACATAAAAGAGAATGTCTTCAATCAGTTTGCTGTTCCTGAACTCCTTCAGGGGGTGCATTTTGAAGGTTACTTGGTGAAGGTTTTTTATTATTATTATTAGTTTTAGTTTTAAGGCTCAAATCCCAGCTTTCATATACGTCAGATTTTGAACGTCATGGAATTGTCAGTGCTGTATTTTATTTAGTTTGTCTTTTACTGCAATAATACTGTATGGAGCAGCAGGATTTTGTTTTGTTGTTGTTGTTTGTTTGTTTTTCCTAATTTTATTTTCTCCATTTAAGGATATGTGTTTACTTAGCCTAGAGAATGAGTCTCTGTTTCAAAGGAAAAATATTCATTGATGGTCATAGATATCACTACCGTGTCCAAATTTAATGCAATTTAACCTAAGTGTGTAATATGACCTCCTTGCTTTTTAAGAAATTTATTCACCTATTGTGGTAAGAAGATTTAACAGGAAGCTTCCTGTGAGAGATTTTTGAGGTATGTAAGACAAAACTGTCCTCTGTGGGCATAATTTTGTACCTGAGATGCCTAAAACAGACTCATCTGATGCTGTGTTCCAGTTTAAACCGGGGCTGGTGGAAGTCTTGACAGTCCTAACCTCCTCTCATGACGGAGTTCATGCTAACTAAAGTGAGACCAAACCTGTACTCGGCAAATGTTTCTGTGCAGAGAGACACAAAGTGTTTTGTAAAGTAGAGTCCAAACAATGCTCTCTACAGAAAACCGACATTCTTGGAAAAAGGTGACCAAGTCATCGGTTGGCAGAGTAGAGTTGGTTGCTTCAAGGAAAAACTATGAAAATGTGATAGAGGACAGGAGTGGACAAAACCGGGGGGGGGGGGGGGTGTAGGACGAAGCAATCACGCACATGATTCCTTTTCCAAAACCTGTGCTGAAGAAGGATTTTATTTGCTAATAAAGGGTAATAAATCCAAAGCGTAATTTAACCGTTAATGAGAGCAGCTACTCTCTCGCTTCGACTCTTAATGGATAGACCTTCATGTTGTTATGTTCATCTGATTTTTTTTATGGGTAGGAATGCTGAGATGTACTTACACGGAGGCCAAATACAACCAATCTAATCTAACACGTTCTATACTGTAGAAGGGGTATTAACTAAAACCATAAAGCCATTCATAACAGGGACTAATGGTCATAGATATCACTACCGTGTCCAAATTTAATGCAATTTAACCTAAGTGTGTAATATGACCTCCTTGCTTTTTCACAACCAACAATCCTCGAGATTGAGTTTATATGACACAGTCAGACGTGGTTCAGATGCTGCGTGACCCCAGGGTTTTATCTGCTAATTTTACATCAAGGTAATTGGCAAAGCAACGCTCACCGCGCTAACAGCACAGGTGTGTGGACTGGTTATTGCATTATGAATTGGAAACATTGAATTGGAAATGATCGGGCCATATTTCTTTGAAACTAGGAGCTCTTAATTTTTATGCCAAACTTGTTTTTAAAAAACACATTAAAAACTATATTTATTATGTGTATACTAGCTATCACCAGATACATTTTTTTTCTGAAATAAAAGCCACCCAGTCCCTGAGACACATTTAAATGGTCCTAAAATCTCTATTTTTAAAAAGACATTTAGGAAAGAAAAAAGTAACATTAATTTGGGACATCCTGAAAGAAACTTTCCGAACAGAAAACTTAGCATATGAGAAATGGCAATAAAATGACAGGATGCTATAATCATATAAGCAAGCATTTGAAGAAAAGAAGTGAAGCACATGAGTTAGAAATATGGTTTTGTAATTACACATCTCAAATACCCAGCAAGCGGGCTTTCAGAGAAACATTTCAGAAGAAATATGAAGTTGGACTCTTTGTCACCGCAGTAGCGGATTAGTAAGCAGTCTTAAGGGTTCCTAAATAATGAAATCCATGATCTAAAAGGAAAACAGTCCTTTCCTGTCAACCCTCTAATTGAGAACAGAAGCAGGTACAAGAATAAGATTGCTTTAGCAGCCAACTTTAGGAGTCCCACGCCCGAACCCTGAGCTGGTCCCACAGTCGTCGACCGGACTACTCACCAGCCGGTCCAGGCTCGTGCCCGCTGCTGTTGTGGGTCTTTCCTCAGGGTTGTAGGGCCGGAAGCGTGTGTTAAAGTTTTCTGGAGCCGAGCGAGCAGATCTGAGGGCTGGAGCAGGTTTGGGCTGGCCACAGCCTTGGAAAACCTAGGACAGAGCGTCGACACGAAGTTGGCGTTAAACTCACAAACCAAAGCAAGCAATACAGGTCCCTGCACACTTTTTTTTTTCGTGACATTCTTCCTTCCATAAAAAAATCTCTAATTTCTACTTTTTTAATTTAAGGATGTATAGACACCAGTAGGAAAAAATTGCCACACGAATACAGAGTGACCACCTCTATGCATGTCCTGCTCACAGGTTAACCACACAGAGCTGGTCCTCATTATCTACAAATTTCATATTTACAGTGTGACCCGATTGCATGTTCTCAGGTTGACACTGAATTAAGGCCCTCTCTGTTCTAGTCTCCATGCCATGCTGTGAAGAACAGGCCTTCTTGTGGCCGACTTAACCCATGTTCTTACACTGTGCGTGCTTTCTCTGTGATTTCCCTGGATAAATGGGTCCCTGATGTCGACGGAGCTTAGGCACTGTCTGATGTGCCGGACACCAGGAAGGGAAGTGGTGTGTCTCGCAAGGATAACACACACTCTTCACATAAAAACGAATTCAGACATGCGTCCAGTTGGTTTGTCGTATGCTAAGCAGCAGCCTTTAATCCTGGGATTTCTCTTAGGAACTAGGACCCAGCATTTGCCAGGTCAGTTCTCATGACCGCGTGGAACACGACCACTGCAAAATAGCAGTAGCCAACCATTAAATACGGGGATGATAACAGACTCTTCATAGCACGGTTTCGGTACTAAACCAACTGTGGCCCAGACTCTCTGGTGTGCCTGGGTTTGGCATTCGGTAAACAAGTGTTTGGGATCCATGTCACCTAACATTACAAGTATATTTCATGTGTGGCTTGCCAAAGTCACCTGATTTGGGAGGGCTCCCTTTCGAATAATGGAAACCTTTTCTGGAAGAACTTTTTGAAAATATTCTCCTGAGCAATGGTGTGGAAACAGGACAAGAAAATGTGGGTGAAATCCACATAATGGCATTTTCTTCTAATTTTGTTGACAGCTGTTCATGTCACAGTTAGGGCTGCTGTGGGAAATCAAACACTTTTATTGTAATGAATTTAGGGACTGAGATGACAATCTTTATCCACAGTGATTCCACTCAGGTTGGTGTGGGAGCATTTTCTTCACTATTGCTAGATGTTTTTTTTTCTCCTTTGTACCAGTTATCAAGAGATAATCCCTTTCCCAGACTTCCAGGGATATAGCGAGATGGCTATTCTTGGTTGACTACATCTGGAATCACCTAAAACCCAAACATTGAGGTACACCTGAGAGGGATATATATTATATATATGTATATATATGTATGCATAATTATATATATATGTATATATATATATAATTTGAATCGAAAAGGCCCACTTTTAACTGGGTCTTTTGGCTGAGGGAGAGAATACTGGGGCCTGACCTACTGATGATTCAGCGTGCTACACAGGCACCACTCAGAACTGCAGCATTACAACCTGAAAGAAACCAGTGGAGGGAAATCCTCACAGGGGCCATCACTTCGGGCAGCACGCATGGCCATATATTTTTGTTTGGAAGGGGGAAGAGTCAGAGACGCGGTTGTTCACTGATTTGTGAGCTGCAGCCAATGGACTGGCTGAATGGTAAAGGGGCTTGGGAAGAAGAAGATGGGACAGTTGGTGAGGGAGACACCCGGGGAAGAAATAAGTGTGGTCCAATCTCTCTGAGTGGGTGAGGGGTGTGAAGACATCTGTGCCTTACGTAAATGGTCACCAAAAAGGTGGCTTCCACAGAGAAGTTCAACAACCAAGCAGATAGGATGACCCATTCTGGGGACAGTCAGGCTTTTCTCCCAGACATCCCTTCCTTGCCCAATGGGCGCGTGAACAGAGTAGCGGTGGGGATGGAGGTTATGTCTTGATTTGACAACATGGACTTCCACTCCCCAAGGCTGACCTAGCTGCAGCAATGCCCAGAGCAGAGATGAACACTGAGCTGCATTTAGGGCACCATTCCCTGGGGGACTAGCCGATGACTTGGTGGATGTCATTGGATCACTCCTCTGTAGAAAGAGCAGTGCTTCATCCTTACTGGAGCAGATATTTATTCGTGGCATGGATCCACCTTTGTGGCCCCAGGACCACCATCCAAGCACTTGCAGAGTATCTTCACCACCATCAAGGTATTCTATACAATACTGTCCTGGAATCCAGTGGTCTTACTGTGTTTCCCACCATTCTGAAGCAGCTGGCCTCATAGAAAGATGGAGTTACATCTCCAATTAGGTGGCAGTAGCATGGAGGGCTGGGGCAAGGTTCTCCAAAGTTGGGATATGCTTTTAATCGGTGTCCAGTATATGGTACTGTTTCTTCCATAGCCAGGGTCCACAGGTCAAGGCATCAGGGAGGGATAGTTCTAGTTGCTAGGAAAAATTTTGCTTCCCGTTCCCTGCCTTTAAGTTCTCCTGGCCTAGAAGGTTTGGTTCCAAAGGTGGGTGTGCCCCTTCCTGGAGACTCAACAAACATTCCGTTGAACTGGAAGGTCAGACATGCCCCTGGTCGCTTTGGGCTTCTAATGCCCTTAAACAAACAGACTAAGAAAGGAATAACAGTGTTAGGAGGGGTGACTGGTCCACATTGCCATGGGGAAATTGGATTGCCTCTCTACAATGGAGGTAAGTAGGATTATGTCTGCAGTACAGGAGATCCTTATCTACGGCATCTCTTGGTGCTACTATGCCCTGTGATTAAAGTCAGTGGGAAAGTACAACGGACTAACCCAGGCAGGATGACCAAGGGCACAGACCCATTAGGAAGGAAGATGTGGGCCACTCCCCCAGCATGAGAGCCACAGCCTGCTGAGGCGCTTGCAGAGGGTGGAGGAAATACAGCATAGACAGTAGAGGAAGGCAGTTCTAAATACCAGCTGAGGTCATGTGATCAGTTACAGAAATGAGCTTATAACTGACATGAGTTCTTCTGTTGTATTTTGTTAAGAATATGTTTGTATAGATATCTGGGTTTGTCCCTCCATTTATCATGTAATACAACATCAATCAAGAAAATATCAGTGGTTATCATATTTAAGTTTGAGATACTAAAAGAGTGTCCCTCAAGGGACATTGCCACCTATTCTGAAATTTATAACGTGTTTGAGGTTGTACAAGGACAGTTATATCATACTAGGCATAATTGTGACCTGGTTAATGTGTTTGCAATTGTATATGGCATAGTTATATCATGTTAGCTGTAATTATAACCTAAGTATTGTTTTCATTTAGGAATTAAGTATGATGCAAGGAGATATGACTGTGTGTCAAGTTGAGAAGGGGTGGATTGTGATGGCTGTTCTTGGTTGTCAAGTTGACTACATTTGGAGTTAGCTAAAACTCAAGTAGCTGGGTATGCCTGGGAGGGTTTTTTCTCTCTTAATGAAATCCTTTGAAGTGGAAGACCCACTTCTCGTCCAATTCTTTTGAGGTGGGAACCCCCCCTTTAATCTGGCCCACACCTTCTGCGAATGGTCTATATACCAACATGGAAGACGGGAACCTGTTTTCTTTGTCTGCTTGTTCTCACTCCCGCTGGAAAGTCCACTCCATCACTGACATGAGAGCCTCATCCTTCAAGGTTCCAGGATGTACTGAACACCAGCTAAGACATCCAGCATTATGGCCTGAACAACTACCGAATTCTTAGACCTTCCCTTGGTTGACAGCCATTGTTGAAATAGCTGGACAGCAGTTTATAAGCCACTCTTATAAATCCCACATATCTATATATCTCTATATATTATTCACTTTATAGAATTTTTTTCACCTACAGAACCCTAAGACACATAACAACACTTTTCAGAACACATTTCCTTGTAACTTTGTGTTTCTAACACTTGTATACAGTTTTCTCTCAGATACTTTTTTTAAAAAGAATAATGCCAGATACTGAAAACCCAGGCAGCTACCAGGGGCTAGTGAGGTCATGGATCTTGAAGACGAACCGATAGCCACCACTTTACGAGCCTTGCAAATCTCTACTGTGTTCTAACTATTTCTCTTTATACCCACAAGCAACAAAGTTTTCTGCAACAGGTAGAGACCATTACAGAAAACGGCAAGTAATCAAGGTGCAGACAAAAGGGGTTTGGTACCCAGCCTTATTGATGTACCTGGTACCCAGTCTCATTGATGCATCTGGTACCCAGCCTTATTGATGCACCTGGTACCTAGCCTCATTGATGCATCTGGTACCCAGTCTTATTGATGCATCTGTTAACCAATCTCATTGATGCATCTGGTACCCAGCCTCATTGATGCATCTGGTACCCAGTCTCATTGATGCATCTGGTACCCAGCCTTATTGATGCACCTAGTACACAGTCTCATTGATGCATCTGGTACCCAGCCTTATCGATGCATCTGATACCCAGGCTCATTGATGCATCTGGTACCCAGCCTCATTGATGCATCTGGTACCTAGCCTCATTGATGCATCTGGTACCCAGTCTTATTGATGCATCTGTTAACCAATCTCATTGATGCATCTGGTACCCAGCCTCATTGATGCATCTGGTACCCAGTCTCATTGATGCATCTGGTACCCAGCCTTATTGATGCACCTAGTACACAGTCTCATTGATGCATCTGGTACCCAGCCTTATCGATGCATCTGATACCCAGGCTCATTGATGCATCTGGTACCCAGCCTCATTGATGCATCTGGTACCCAGTCTCATTGATGCATCTGGTACCCAGCCTTATTGATGCACCTAGTACACAGTCTCATTGATGCATCTGGTACCCAGCCTTATCGATGCATCTGATACCCAGGCTCATTGATGCATCTGGTACCCAGCCTCATTGATGCATCTGGTACCCAGTCTTATTGATGCATCTGTTACTCAATCTCATTGATGCGCCTGGTACCCAGCCTCATTGATGCACGTGGTACTCAGGCTCATTCTTTCACGTAAGGTTCAGGGAACATCAATGAAGAACAGGGTAGAAAGATGGTAACCACAGGAGAAACAGAATGTCTGTTGTGAGATTTC